CCCTGGCTGAACTAAGCCCTCCGTGGTGATAGGCTTGCACCATCCCGCCCCAGTCTGGAGGTTAATACTTAAACGCTAATGTTTACTTTTCTCAGCAACAAAAGATGTGTTATGCTCAATATACATGCAAAACATTTATTAAATAACGATCTGATGAAACTCAATGGTCAAGAAATTCAAGGGGTAAATTCCCATGGCTGTCATTTGAACACTGAAGAACGCAAGATTGGAAGCCAGACATTTAAGTGCTCTCAGTAAACATTCTTATTCCTGCTCCTACTTTCCATTTACTGACCATATTCCAGCATACCCCATCTCTGGTTGTATGAAACAGGAGAACTGAAATTCACAAGCCAAAGGCTCTCAAAACTTTACACTAAGCAAGATATCAGCAAGGCAAATTTTTTTTTTTTTTTTTACTAACGGCCATACTGGCAATCAGCAAGGGGCCGGAGGCAAGGTCCCAGCAGGAAGATTGCACAGTAGTTTCCCCTATCTTATCTTTCAGGCAGAGAAGTGGCGGCTGGGCGAAGACTGCAGATCACCCTGTCTGGGGAGCCGGTGACTGGCAGCATTCCAGTAGACCAGGAAGGCCGAGGGATGGTGAGCATAACACATTGGTAATATGATATAGACCTGGGGCTGAGCTGACTACTCTACTCCTACTCATTTCCACCCACCAAAACCAAGATTTTTCTGAGGATTAGATAATGTTGGAAAGAATACTTTTGAAACCATAAAGTACTAATAATAAAATAGTGACCATTGAATGGGTGCCTTCTGTGTGCCAGATAAGATGACAGGCACTTTCTAAAGTTCTACACAAAAACTTTGCCAAAGGGGGTTGAGTATAGCTCAATGGTAGAGCACATGCTTAGCAAGCATGAGGTCTTGGGTTCAATCCCTGGTACCTCCATAAAAAACCACAGAAATAAATAAACAAATTAAAACAAAAACAAAAACAAAAAATTTTGCCAAGTGTGGTTTCATTATCCTCATATCATCAGAAAGGAAAATGCAGTTTTGTGACTTGCTTCAGGGTGCACAGCTGATTGGCCGCAGAAGGATTCTAACCCAAAGCCTTTCCGTGACACCAACCTGTCTCATCAATGTCAGAATGATTGTGATTAACAAATTCAAATGTAGAATAACAAAATTTAGAATTCTAAATAGAATAGCGTAGAACTTGGTGCCTTTAAACTCTTTTTAGAACACTAACTGAACAGCAGGAGGCTTGGGGAGATGCCAGGGACTCAGTTATAGGAAGTCTCTAACTGGAACGCCAGCCTTTAGGGGTACAGATACAGCCTCCTCATTTCTCCACCAACCCCATCATCCCTAGCCAAGAAGCAGACCCCTGTGTTCTGGCCTCTTCCTCCTCCCCCACTCAGATAAAAGAAGAATGCAGGTGAGGTTCTCAGCAAGGTGCTCAGCAGAGAAGATGCTAATTAACTGTCAGGGCCCTCATCCCCACCCCACCCCCTACTCCCTAGGGAAATGTCACAGATTTCCTCCACCCCCACCCGACTGCATCTGCCCAGACCCTGACTGGCTCGTGGCTTCTGGAGCTCCAAGCTTGAGTTACTAGGGCCCAGGAGTCATTCCTTTTCCCTCTCCTCACAAGCCTCTCCAAGCCTTAGTTAGCCCCCATGAACTTCTCCCATCCTTGTGTATCTAAAAACAAATTTCATAACTTTTTTTCCCCAAACCAACAGATTCCAACTGAGACCATCTAAATGCTGTGTCAACCCCCTCCTTGTAGTAACAATAGAGAACGGTTCCAGACACCCCGAGCCTTGAGGCTCTACAGGCCAGCCCTCTGACCCACTAGCCTCAGACAAGGGCAACCTCGGCCCTCCCCCACGTTCAACTGCACCAGCTCCTTGTCCATGAAACAAGCCACCCCAACAGTGTCCCCAAGTGCCCACCTTCTAGTAGCTCTTCCTATCTCCCTCTCTGCCCGACCTCCCCAGCCCTGCAGAGAGGGGAGTCAGGCTGCTGACCACTCTCCTTGGATTCAACCTAAAACAACTCGCCCCGAAATGCCTATTTCAGGTCAGAGTACGTACCGGTGAACCGCTAGGACTTACCCCACTGCCCAAGTCGGCCCAGAGCCCCAGATTCTCAAGAGTCAGTTCGAGTCAGTCAGGCCCCCACCCCCAGGCCCTCTAACGCAGCGTGGGAGCCCGTGCTCCAAACCCGCTCCAACCCCCGGCCGGACCTTGAGCGACAGACCCTCTGCCCCGCAGAACCGCCTCGGCCGGTCGCCCCCCACCACCCCAGCCCCGCCCCCGCCCCCCGCCGGCTCTGACCTTGCCGGAGCTGGGGGTCGTCCAGCACGTTGTAGGCCGCGTAGTCGCGGACGCCGTGCAGCCGCAGGATCTGCACGACGGCGTTGCTGAAGCCGCACTGGGGCTGCTCCGGCGTCCCCTTGAGGAAGACCACCACCTTGTCCTTCTTCACCAGCGCGTCCAGGTGCTCGGCCGAGCCGCTGCCCCCCGAGCTCGCCGCCCGCACGCCCGGGCCCCGCAGGCCGCCGCCGCCCGCGCCGCGCCCCCAGCGGAGCAGAGCCGCCGCCGCCCGGCCCAGGGTTCCGCTCATCCCCGCACGCTTGCCGGAGCCCTTGACGGCCCGGGACCCGGGCTAGCCAGCCTGAGCCTTCCCCCGGCCCGGCCCGCGGCGGCCCGGCCCGCCCTCCGGAAGCCCTCATTGGCCCGGCTCGAACAGCTCTCCATGATGGATAACGCTGG